AACAAAAAAGCAAAACAGCAAGACTTATTTGACATCAAAACAAAAATTTTAAATAAAAAAAAAGAAAAGAAGAAAGAAAGAACATTTAAAAAAATTCTAATCGCTCTCGTGGTATTTTGATATCACACACAGAATGGTCTGTGCACTTACATATTCATATGTAGCTGACATTAAGCTATCGTATGGCTTCAGAAGTAACACAGAATAACTCGCACAATCGAGAAAAAAAAAAAAATTCTCGGATTTGGATCGGCTCTCTCTGACGGATACCCGATCCGAGAAAAATGGCACTATCTGAGCCGATAACCGATATGAATATCGGATCGGCGCATCCCTAATCACAATATGGTAAGGGGTGTAACATTTCCGTCACATGCTTAAGGAATTCGGCCAATCACAACGCACTGGATAGCTGGCCAATCAGAACACACCTCGCTTTTCAGAACGATGAGCTTTGTAAAAATCGATGCGTTTCAGAAAGTCACACGCTTGAGGTATTCGGCCAATCACAACGCACTGGATAGCTGGCCAATCAGAACACACCTCGCTTTTCAGACTGATGAGCTTTGTAAAAATCGACGTTTCAGAAAGGCGGGGCATAGAGGAGAAACAATAATGTACAGTATGTGGAAAATAATGTTTTTTGAACCTTAAACCGAATAAACACATTGCATTACACCAAATACACAAAATAATGTTCTTTTTAGCAACATCATATGACCCCTTTAATGTATTATTTTATTCTTAAATTTGTTGATCTTAGTTACGAAAAAGGGTACAGAAGAACGTAGGAAGAGGAGAGGAATCCACTCTTTCTTCAAGAGTGTGTGGAAGGCTATGAAACAGCCTTTCCGCTGCCAGAACAAAGTGGAGCCTTTTGTGCCTCCGCCAGAACTGGATGACCCTGAGCTGTCACCTGTCCCAGACTCTTCAGACTGCGTCCCAACTAATGGTAACGTTAAATCTGTGATCATTATAACAAGATACATGTCATTGAAGTAATAAACTGTTTTCAAATAAGTTTATTTAAATATGCTTAAACTTAACTGAAGTTAGTTTGCAGTTAGCTGGCATCTGCTGTCTCTTGAACGTTTATTTTTTTCTATATTAATATTGTTTATTGTCACAAGGCACCAATTGTATAAATTAAGACTGTGCCTTTTAAGAATTAACCAACTAGCAGTTTGCCTAGTTGATTATTTTATTTCAATTTGAATTCATTTTTTATGCAAATGACTTTGTAAGTTATTACAAATCTTGAAGAAAAAGAAAAACTCGTTATACAGCTTTAAGCATTTTATGCTACTTCAAATGATCTAGCAAGCTTTTACAATATATAATATATTATATAATAAAATATATAATATGTTCTCGTGTATGTGTGTGTGTGTGTGTTTTTCTCAGAATCCATTCGCTCTCGCTATATAGTGAAAAAGATTATTGGAGAAGGAGGCTATGGCAAGGTGTATGAGGGAATCCGTATTTCTGATGGCAAAAAGTAGACAGACATTTTGCTCTTACATTGAAATCTGTATACACTGCCTTAATCAAAAAAAAAATGAAGGAACCTACAGATTTTAATCTTAAATACTCAATTCTTCATGGTTAGGTTAAGGTTAGGTGTTCAATATGCTCAACTGTGTTTTTTACCTTTTGCAGGTTGCCATCAAACGTATTCAAAAGACTGTACGGGATCAGTATCTTCAAACTGTAAGTTGACAAAACATAATATGTATTTAGTTGTTTAAGTGCTGATTACTGTAGTTAATTCACTTGTAAGTAACATTAAGCATGAATTCAATAGACAATTAAGCAGCAAAAAAACTTTGACTGTTTATTAAATCCACAAAGCTCAAAGCAATGTAAAGTACAGTACATTTAAAAATGATATATATTCTTCAGAGTTTTACCAAACTAACCTTTTGTCGCATCTTTTCTGTAGGCTGGGCATCCCAAACCTCTCATTACCTAAGTTGCGCTGATGCTAATGATGAGGCAAGGACCCATAAGCCCCCACGTCATCCAACTATATGAGTGGTTTGAGCACTCTCAAACATTCACTCTCATTATGGAGTATCCGGATCCCTGCGAGAGCTTGTTGGACTTCATCAACAATAATCCTAACATGAGTGAGACAACAGCACGGCTCATCATGTGTCAGGCGGTGCAAGCAGTACAGCACTGCATTGAGCGCGGTGTTTTTCATAACGATATTCATCCAGAGAATATCCTGTTGAGAAAACACACTTTGGAGCTTGAGTTGATAGACTTTGGTTGTGGTCATCTACTTAGTAGTAATGGCTATGATTGCAGGCAATATAGAGGTGAGCTGGCATTTTGTGTCACAGAGTGTGGAAACCAGTGTTTAGTGACTTATTATTGATCATGTGATTCTTCTAAGAATTGCTCAATGCTGAACATGTCTTGCTTACAGGAATACAGGCTTACTTCCCACCTGAACTCTTCATCTATGGCAAATTCCACGCCGTCTCTACAAACGTCTGGGCTCTAGGAGTGTTGTTGTATGAGATGATGAACACATGTTCTCCATTTCGCAATATAACGGAAATCACGCAAGCCAAAATTAGGTTTGAAAACCCAGATTTATCTAAAGGTGAGAGAATAGCATTGATAACACACACATACAGCTTCTGCACAGAATTAACAAACATTGGTAGAGAATGTCTTGTCTAGCATAGTAAAACACAGACTTTAGTATTTACCAACAGATGTTAGAAGTTAGAATTATGTGTTCAGAGATATGTTTATAATACTTGTAAATTCCCTTAACCTTAAATTAACCACATTACAGAAGCTGATTTCGTACATGCCAACATTAGTGTCACATGGTCACGACTAACCAGCTCTCTCCTGAAAACAGAATGCTGTGATCTGATTGTCCAGTGCCTAACCCGTGATCCAACTGAACGGCTGACCCTCGAGCAGATCTTGCAGCATGACTGGTGTAAAACAGTGGATCTAAAACGAAGGGAGGATTGAAGCATCATTGGTTTCAGAGTTGAGACTGATTTGTGCTGTCATCTTCAATTCTTAATCATATATGATGTACATTTAAAATATGATTAGTGAAGTGAGTTCATTTTAACAATCTTGTTATACTATAATATATGATGACTAGAAAAAAGACTTGAGTGAAGACAGTCAGTGTGAAGAATCCTCTGGCTTTCTCTTTCCCAGGGTTGGACACACACCTTCCAGTGAAAAAGCACTATGGATTCACATGCTGGAAATTGGAAACTCAAGCCCTCATGTAAGCCCACTACTAAAGAATTAGAGAGCTCGGAGCACCCCATAATTCAAAGTCTGTCCACATCCTTGCAGTCCCGTCTGAAAATGAGCATTGGCAGTTCTAGTCATCAGAGCCATAAGTGCTTTGTTTTAAAGGCTTAGTTTTGGCTTTTTTAAAAGCATACTTTGGCTTTGTTTTAAAAGCGTAGTTTTGCTGTTTTAAAAGGAATATATTATTAGGAAGCAATAAAAAGGGCTTTATAAGAATTATATCTAATAAAAAAATAAATATTTAATAAAAATGATAAAAAATAGTATGTTTGTCTTAACATTTTTACTAATGTTATTTGGTGGATTTTTTGCTAAAAAAAAATAAAATTATAAAAATATATGATGACCATTTATACACACACACACACACACACACACACACACACACAC